CACTCCGCCAACCAAGCTGCCCTGTAAGCCATGGTCTCTGAAAAAGAAACGGGAACATGGGGAGGGCACAGTCCTTTGGCGCAGGTCCCTGGAGGATGTGACATGGGTCAGTGTGCATCCTGACAAAGCAGGAGAACAAGAATGGGAAGGGCACCGGTCCGGGGGCTGGTGCAGTTCACAGAGCCCTGACTTATGCTAAAGAGGCTACTTCCTCCCTCACCACCACCTCCCCCAGGGCCGCCCTCCAGGAGCCTCTTCCTCAGGTTCTGTTCCACACTGGCACTTCCAGACTGCCCGGAAAGCACTCACCAGAAGCAGAGCAGACAGGAGGAGAGAAAGGCTGTGGCTGCAGAGGCCGTGCTGAGAAGCCTGGGCCAGGCGTGCTTTTATCCCCTGCAGGGGGCGTGGCGTGCCGTTTCACCGTGCCACTGCTTTGGCCACCAGGGGAGTGACAGTGCCTGACGCATCCCAGGTTCCTGCACCAGTGTGCTCCTGGGCATGTGAGGTCTCAGAACGAGTGGAGCAAGGGTGTCCTTGTGACTGCTGCATTACTTCCCTCTGCTCTTCCTCAAACATGCTGCTTGGCCTTTGTCCATTCATTCACAGGCTTGGTGCCTTTTACTTCAGTCCACAGCAGTGATATGCAGATGTGTGTGAGACTTTTCTTCCCTCGAGTACCTTGTAGACTGTAACTCAGAAAAATGCCTTTGATCCGATGAGACAAATGTACTGAAAAAGTGTTTGCAAACACCTCAAGCCTAGGATCCCAGCCTCAGGTCTGAGAGGGTGATGGGGCCATCGGGTTTCTCCAGGAGGAGCATGAAGGAGTAAAATATGTGGGGCAAGGGATAGAAAGTCTCCTAGAAGTCCTACATATCACTCAGATGGCAAGATGGGGACCGGTGGCGCAGTCAGCATGGAGAAGGGAGGGATTTACAACTCTACAGGTGACAAGACTCGCAAGTGATATTAAGATGAAGAAGGAGAGGAAGGACCCTCTAGTCCCCGTCTTCCTGACTCTGGGATTTGTGTTATCTTTTCTGAGACTGTATTTGACAGAAGCAAATGGTTTATGTCTTCGGAAGACTTATGGAAGAATTATACAAAAGAATTATGATTATCAAACATTTTATTTCAGATAGGACCTATTTCAATTAACCTAATGTCCTCCAGGTTTATTCATCTTTGCACAAGGGAAGGATTTTCTTCTCTTTTTGTTCTAAATAGCATTTTCTTGTGTTTTCATGCTACATTTTCCCTATCCATTCATCCATTGATGGATACCTAGGCAGATTACATACTTTTGATACTATATATAGTACTATAATAAACGTAGGAGAGCATATATCTCTTCAAAATGTTAATGGCTTTCCTTGGGATATATACCCATAACTATCACATAGGACCACAAAATATGTCAGTTTTAATTTTTCAGAGGTACTGCTATACCACATCCAATAATGGCTGCACCAATTTACATTCCTGCCATCAATGCCTAAGTGTTTCCTTTGTACCGAATCCTCATCTATACTTGTTTCTCTTGTGTTTTTTGATAATAGGCAATCTAACAGGTATGAGGTGATATCTTTTTGAGGTTTTAATATTCATTTCTCTGATGATTAGTGATGTTATTTTTTCACATATATATAGGCTATTGTGTATTTTCTTTTGATAAATGTTTATTCAAGTCCTTTGTGCATTTTTAAATTAGGTGATTTGTTTTCTTACAATTGAGTTGTTTGTGTTAATAATGTACTTTGAATGTTAACTCTTTACCAGATGTATCATTCACAAATATTTTCTCCCATTTAATAAGTTATCTCTTCATTATTGTTTCTTTTGCTCTTTATAAATTTTTTTATTTTGATGCAATCACATTTGTCTAGTTTTGCTTCTATTGACTGGGGTTTGAAGATGAAAATCCATTTTTTTAACAAACCAAAATGAAGAATATTTCCTGCTATATCTTTTTGTAATTGTTTTATAGTTTCAGGTTTTATGTTAACTCTTTAATAGAAAGCCAATATACCAAAATCAGTAGTGCTTGTATATAGTAATAGCGAACTGCTCACCCAAAAAAGTTAAGAGAACAATCTCTCTTAAAATATATTTAAAATTAAAAATAATTTGAAATGAATTCAAATAGTTGAAAGATCTGTACACTGAAAACTCTAACACAATGACGTTAGAAAAGAAAGATGACAAAAATAAGTAGAAAGATATTCCATGTTCATGGATTGCCAGAATTAATACTGTTAAGATTCCACCGCAGAAGTGATGTTCGCAGCACGGTAGAATTTTCCAGCTCCAACCCCGCCCCCCACAAATCTAAGTATCAACTATGAAGAAACAAGAGCTTTCTGGTGAATAGGCTAAAACTCTGGAGTGAGGCTGAAGCACTCACTTGGACTGCAGAACTGGGAAGAGCCACATGGACAGGGTGGGAGGAGACTTTCATTGTGACAGCCTTGTCTCTGATCCAAGCCAGCACAGTTCTGAACACAGAACATCCATTGAGACCCACGGTTTTTATGGACAGAGTTAGAGGCAAATACTCAGCTTCTTCACCATTCTGGCATCCCTTTCAGGAGGTCCTTTCTTGTCTGTCTCAGAAGCAGCACTGGACGTATTAGCATGGCTTGACCTCCTGGGACTGTTTAGAAACAAAGAACAGGGGTGGGGCTCCCAGAGTCCATATTGTGAGCTTGGCAGTTACTCTGCTGTCCAGACAGCAGAGTTGCACTACCAGGAAGGTTCGACAGCAGCACTATCCTGCAGGAAGCATGGTCAACAGGTTGCTTAGAGATGAATACTTATAAAAATTACTACATGGTTGCAGTTGTTCCCTTTATAGATGATTGTTGAACTCTCCTTATCTCCTGGCTCAAGGAAGCTTCAAGGGGCGCATCAGAGGTTTAAGCCAGCCTTGAATCCTTCACTGGATTCCTCATACAGCTCTGGTGTTCTCCTGTAACCTTCCTTGAGCCTAGAGATGAGTCAGTTCAATAATTATCTACAAAGGGAGCTTTTGGTGTCATCTGGTCCCAGTTGCTGTCAGCTTCAACCCAGCTAAACCTTGGTACACTCTTTAGCCCTTGCCCAACCTGAAAATCAGGGCCAAGGTAGCAACTGACCACAGGAAAAAGACTTAGTTCCCTCCAAGTCCAGCAATCAGATGGAGAACACACCAAGCTCTAGTACTCAAGGCTACCCTGAGGTGAGAGGCAAGCCTGTGACCACGCATATCCCTTTAGCACAGCCCTTGGACCCCTCTCCCCTAAGTGGCCATCCAAGGTATCTTGCACAGCATCTGTGTCCAGCATGTGGCCCTGGGCAACTGCAAATCACAAACTTTAGTACTGGGTGGTAAGAAAGACACCCGACAGCAATGCCCAAACAGAAGCAGTGGCAGAGGCAAACAGCTCCGCCTTACTGCAGAATCCAGTCCATGATCCCATCAAACTGGAGAACAGCCAGAAGTTCCCCTCAACCCCAGAGCACACTTAACAGCCCAGCCCAACCAGAAAACACTGCAGCCATGTCTCCCTGTCCAGGGATATACACAACTGGCACAGACAGGATCCCAGGCTAGACAACGGAGGTAAGATCTATGACTGCTAAAGGCTGCAAAGGATGGCTATTTCCTCAACAGTGCAGGACTGAAGGTTTATGAAAAATCAGGAGAAAATTACACTGACATAAAGCCAATTACTAGAAGGAAGGAAATAACAAAGATCAGGGCAGAGAAAAATAGAATACAGTCTAGAAAAACAATAAGAAACAATGGCTAAGACTTGGTTTTTGACAAACACAAAATTGACAAACCTTTAGCTAGCTTAAGTAAGGAAAACAGATAGAAGACTCAAATAAATAAAATAGAAATGAAAGTGGAGACATGGCAACCTATAGCAAAGTGGAAAAAGGGATAAGAACTGCTGTGAAAAATTATACGCCAAAAAATTGGATGGCCTAGGAAAAAACCAGATAAACTCCTAGACATATACCACCTTCCAAAACGGAATCATGAAGAAATTAGAAAGCCTGCATGAAGCTAAGATTGCATCAAGAATAAAGAGTCTCAGGTCAGAGAAAAATTCAGGACAATTTCATATGGATATATTAATTAGCTTAGTTTAATTCCTCCACATTGTATACATGTATTAAACTTTACAATATAGTCTATAAACCTATTTCAGTTATGATTTAATAATAAAATCATAAAAACAAAAGTAAGAAAATGTTCTGACTAACCGAAGAGATCTACAGATTCCATGCAATGTCTACCAAAATTTTAATGGTAGTTAAATAGAAAAATCATCTTCAGATTCACATGTAACCTCTAAAGACCATGAATACCAAAAGCAGTCATTTGCAAAAGGAACAAAGCTGAAGATTTTGCACTCCCTAATTTTTAAATCTACCCCAAAACCACAGTTAAAAAATCCCAGCATGGCACCGGCACAAAAACAGACATAGATCAATGAAACAGAATAGAAATCCCAGAAATGAGTCCACACATTTACAGTCAAATAATATTTTACAAAGGTGCCAAGAACATCTAATAGGGAAACAACAATTTCTTAAATAAATGATATTGAAAAAAATCGAATATCCACACGCAGAAGAATGAGATTTGATAATCCCATCTCATATACCAAATCCTCTCAGTCTTCAAAATAAGTTCTCCATTCCTCTCTGGAATATTTTCATTTTCAGCCTAAATGCTGCTCTGGGGAGCAGCTACCAACTCACCGTGTTGCTCATCCCGCAACAGGGAAAAGGACAGGTTCGTGTGAGGCTAGGTGTGGAGGCGCAGAGGAAGCAGGAGTGGAGAAAACTGTGGCTTTGCCAGCGGGGGTGAGGCCTACGGCAGGGCAGGCAGGGAGGGAGGCCTGGGCAGGAGGGTGCTCCAGCAGGGGACTCTGGGAGCCCTCAGCTCTACTCTGGCCCGGGGTCTGTGACCCTCACCGGTGACTCCATTCCATGACTTTCCTCCTCAGGTCCAAAGTGGGTCTCAGCCTCCCTCCTTCTTCAGTGCCATCACTAGGCCTATTTACCCGGACCTGTTCTCACTTCAGTCTTCTGCTGTCACAGTGCTTGATTTGAGGAGAACGTGCTGAGTGTCAGCGAGAGCCAGTAAGTAGCTCACCTGGCTCAGTGTTGAGCAGTGAATGAGGGAGCATTTGCCTCCTTTAGGGACCGTAAAATCTAGCAGAGAAGGTAAATACTGCACAAGTGATTCCATCTGTGATGACTGAGCCCTGAAGCGAAGTGGAGATATTATTGGGTGGATGAGAGAGAATTGACTTTGTGTTGGTGTGCAAATCTAGCTGCAGAAGTGAATAATTACTATTTCAGGTAGAAAGCTTTCCCAGAAACAGGTGCAGAGTTCATTTTTAATCCCTGTGGTGTACAATTTTGAGTAGCTGTTATGCTATGCTGGGTGTAACACACGCCTCCCAGTCAGCGGGACTCAAGCATTTCAGCCTGGTCACCAGGAGGGTCCCTTTCCTCGTGAATTGAAAGCTGCCTTGTAGCAGGCTCCTCAGGCCCACCGTGAGTCTCTGTCTTAATCCCTATTTCACAGCCTGATGTTCTCAATCTTTTTCTTCTTTTAACGAAGCTCTTTTGCTTCACCCTTCCCTTATGGAGCTTCTCCTTTCTCACAGCCCAGTCATGCGCTCTCAGAACAGAGTCCACAGTGACCCTGAGGTGATGGAAGAAGATACTTCAGCTCATAGCCCAGCTGCTTATTCCTGAGCATGGGCAACTCCAGATGCTCTGCAGTGAAGATTTGGTCACGGTCCTGACATCCGGAGTACCTGGGATATCGGAGTGAAGAAAAGAACCCTACTTGACCGACTTCGTATGTATGAGGATCTGATGACCTAATAACACGTCCTTCCTCTAGACCAGGAAGTGCTTTATCTGAGGCCTAGTTCGGGGGTGAACCTCCCGAGCAGGCATGTTAGTAATAAATGAGCAAACAAATAAACAAGTTCCACTCTTGTCCTTGGCAACGTTGGACTGATGCTGTGAAGGGCAGCTGAGTCAGTTTTGGGGAAGATGAGATGAGTGAGCCGCATTGGCACCTTGAGAAGACATTTCTTCCTGGAGTTTATACTTAGTTTTCTTCCTCTTGGCTTTTGGGTGCATGCATTTGGATTAAAAATAATCCTTTGGGGGGCCGGGGATTTAGCTCAGTGATTTCGCCGCCTGCTGAGCAAGCGCAAGGACCCGAGTTCGATCCCCGGTACCAAAAAAAAAAAATCCTTTGATCATGATAGATACTCACCATTGGTCCATACTGAACCTTCTTAAATAATGTATGTTTCTCTTTACCTATCTAATCGTTATTGAAACAAACAAAGAATTCACCACCCAAGTAAAAATAAGAACTTTGATAGTAAGTTAAATACATATGGGGTTGACCAACAAACCTCACACTCTGCTTGTCCCATCTGATGTAATTATTATCTTAAATCTTGTGTTTATAATTGTTTTATTTCCTTTTTTGTACTTTTGCCATTTTTCATTTATTTTTGAAAAGTATAATGTTTAATTGTTTTTTCTGTGTCTAAGCCAGATTCCTGGAGGTCTTATTTACATACCCAAAAAACCCTCATGCATTTATGTATCCAGTTTTGTGAGCTTTGACAAACACCACTGCATTAAAGAGATGAGACGTATAGCAAGCATCTTTATCACTAGAAAATAGCCCTCATGTACTTATGTTATTAATATCTCTCCCCTCTGTCAGCTCTTGACAGTCCCACTGATCTATTTCCAGTTCTTGTAACTTTGCCTTTTTGGAATGTCATATCATTGGAATAATTTCTTATGCAACAGTTCTGTTTTAAAAAGGGAGGGTGCTGCCTCAAAAGGGCAAGGACCTGCATTCAATCCCTGTACCAAAAACAAAAAACAAAACAAACAAACAAAAAAGTGAGGGTGGAGGAGCAGGGATGAAGATTAGTGCAAAGGTCCTGTACCAGAAAGAAAAAAAGTGGTTTCTTTCACACAGAATAATGCGTTTGAAATTCATCCCTGATGTCTCCTGTATCAGTAGTTCTTTCCATGTTAGTACATGTGCTGCCAAAGTGAGCACAGTTCTTTCCATTTTTGTTGGTATTAGCATTCCATTGTACGGATGTACCATGCTTTGTCTTTTCATTCCTGTACCAGCTGAAGGACATTGGGTTGCTTTAGGTCCTGAGAAGTTACAAATTAAGCCATGATAAATATTGTCCCATGAGTTTTTCTACAAATATCAAATTTTCCTCTTGACTAAATATTTAAGAATAAGATTTGTAGGGCAAATAATTATGTTTTAAGAAACTGTAAAACTTTTTTCCAAAGTAGCTCAAAGATATGCATTCCCACCAGCAGTGACTGAGAGTTCTAGTTGCTAGTATTTTGGGCCAGGTGCTTTTCTTATTTTACCATCCCAATGTGTGTGCTGTAGTATTCCATTTTGGTTTTAATTGGTATTTCCCTAGAGACTAAAGATGGTGAATGTCTTTCTTGTTCCTGTTTCTCATCCTCGTATTTTCTTTTTTTTTTTTTGGTACCGGGGATCGAACTTGGGCCCTTGCGCTTGTGCAGCAGGTGGTGAAACCACTGAGCTAAATCCTCGGCCCTCATCCTTGTATTTTCTTTATTGAAAAACTCTTCAAATACTTTTCCCATTAAAATCTGATTCGTATTGATTTGAAAGCTTTTAAAAATATTTTGAACAAAAGTCCTTAAACAGATAGGTTTGGCAAATATCTTCTCTAAGTCTGTAGTTTTCCTAGCAGTGTCTTTTGAAAAGCAAAAGTTTAAATTTTTATACACTCCAATATTTACTTTTCTAATTTCACTTTTTGTCATATCTGATACAATTTTTGGTGTAACTCTAGTCACAAATATTTGCTCTTATATTTCATTCTGGAAGTTCTGTTGTTTTGTGTTACGTGTTTGCATCTTACTCATGTTGAGTTAATTTTTATATATAGCATTGGGCATAACTTTTTAACGTATGGACTTTCAACTTTTCAGCATCACTTGTTAAATGACTGTCTTTTCTCCAGTCAACTGCCTTTGTGTCTCTGTTCAATGTTAATTAGTTACATTTTCTGAGTCCTTTTTGTTCCCTGTATTTCTGAGCTCTCCCTCTGCTCTGCTGCGGATCTCAGGGGGAAGCAGCCACTTTCTCACTATTAGTTTGTCACAGTGAGGGTGCTCCTCTCTGCTCCTCTTTGGCTGGGGGTTTTTATCATGAATTGCTATCGGGTTTTATCAAGTGCCTCTTCTGCTTCTATTGAGATGATCCCGTGGTTTTAGTTCCCTTAGTCTGGTGTGACTACAGCACTGTCTCCACTATACCCTGTGTCTCTTAAACATTTCTGACCTGCCTGAATTCTTCCACATTTAAAAAAAGAGGCACATTTTTACTAATTATGAGGATCTTTAGTCACATACGACCCGGATATGAGGCTGTTTCCTCAGTCTCTGAGGAAAGGATGAGGTCACAGGAACTCCATTTGTCAGGGACCCAGTAGCTGACTAGGACTAGCAGTTCAACAATTCAAAGCGTCTCCACGGAAACAATGCCTTGGGTGTACAGAGTGGGGTGCTGCGGAGTTGCAGCACCCAGGCAGATAGTCCTCGTGACACAGGGTCCAGCTTGCTCTGCCATTCCCGCCCCAGCCCACGGCCTCGCTCCCCATCCTGCTCAGAGGAGCTCAGCAGCCTCCTCCCTCCTGGAGTCACCCTGAGACTTCGGAGTCCACCCAGCCGCCCACACTGGCGCTGCCCTTCCAGGAGTGTGAGCCAGGGCATCACGATTATGCCTGTTTAAACCAAAAACATATTTTGAACTTGCTTCTACTGAGCAAGGCAGTGAAAAAGCATTACTTATGCAGCAAGATCAGAAGCCCCAGGCAAGGTTAAGTCTCGTTCCACACTCTCGGACCTGGCGCTCCTCTCATGGCACCAGTCGTAGTTCGGCGCTTGCTGTACCTCTGATGGCAGGATTGTCAGATGTCCCTGCTAGGGAAAGGTGTCAGTTTCACAGCTGTGTTCTCAGAGCGGAGCCCAGTGTCTGCCCTGCAGATGGTGCTCAGCGTTTGTTGAAGATGGAAAGGGAGGGGTTAGTGGCTGTGGGAGAAGAACATCAGTAGGGCAAGCTGAGGATGGCCTTCGGGAAGGAGGAGGATCAGGTCTGTGGGAGAAGAGAAGCAGGTGAGGCTCCCATCTTGGCCACACTCAAAGATCAGGGTTACCTTCCTGAGGAGCCCAGCAGGGCTGTTAGCTCCATCCCCAGTAGGCTGATCTCTTCCACTCCTGTGGTCATTGTACCGAGACACGGCTAAAGAACTGCTTAGGGACACGAGTTGTAAACTAGGACCCCGGGTAACCCGGATGAGAGATGGATGCTGTGCAGGCAGTGTTCTCTAAGGCTGCATGTCAGACAGTGTCCATCCTCATCTCTCTGCTGCCCAGCTCAGTGTCTGTCCAGATAGGGGCTCTTTATAATGTGAGGGACGTGGCATGTAAGACTGCAGTGAGGCTGAGACAGGCAGCTGGCTCCAGAGGGAAAAGAATGTCTTCGTGGAGAGCAGATCGTGGCAGCCAGGGTGCACATCCTTCCCCAGCTTGTCCTCCAGCACCTCCACCGAGCTCCCGTCCTCCCCATAGAGTCCGGAGTAACTCACGGGCTCTCTGTGTGCATCGCAGATGTGCTTTTGAAGGAAGTGAGGAGGGCATGATGTCTAAAGGCAGAATGGAGTCCTATGGGTTCTAAAGGTCATGAAGAATGATGTTTTATATCATTAACTACATAAAATGTAACTAACTGACTAGCTATGCTGCCTTGAACCTGCTTTTCACCAATTAATGCTAAGGCATTAATATTTTTCTCAGGTAGAAAATATAAATCCAGGGTATAATACAGTTTAATAACAAAATCATTTACATTGTATATGAATTATAGAAGTTAATTATAGCTGTAATTATATTTTTCTTCAAATACAGCATGATATTACAATAGTTCACAGAGGCAAACAGATTTCAGCTTAAAATAATTTACTAAAGTCAAACTGAGGACGTTGTCGGCTCTGTATAATTTATTTGTCCATCAAAAGCTAACTCGTTCTAAAGCTTAGAAACTCCATGCCTCCTCCAGGGTGCCTTGAAGTGGGCCCTGGGCTTGCACTAGACAGGGAGGGAGGGAGAGAGGGAAGGAGGGAGAGAGGGAGGGAGGGAGAGAGGGAGGGAGGGCCCCAGCAGACCTCAGTGGGAGATACAGGAACAATCATTTTGTTTCTGAGTTGTCTCACTACACGGGCATTGGGAAAGTACCAGCACAGGGCTGGAAAACTAGTTCTGGCCCCACACCAGCTGTCACCTCCCCTGGGTGTGAAAGCAGCAGCCTGCTCAGCCAGTGCATCACCAGCCCTGAACAGGATAAAAGGGCTCCTGCCTGGGACTCCTCATCCGCTGGCCACAGGCTCCTCAGGCACGGCCTTCAGTCATTCTCAAGCCTTCTCTGCAACCAGTGAGTATCCCACAGGGAGTGGACTCCACCTGAGGGCTGGAAGGGGATTCTGAAGGCACTGCAGAGGACAGGGAAATGGCTTGATCTGGAACAGAGACCCAGAGAGAGGGCAGAGAGGGCAGCAGTCGAGGAAGTGAGGTCAGGAGGCAACCCTGTGCGGCAGGACAAGAGCTTTGTGACCTGCCGAGGTGCAGACCTCAAAATTCTCTCCCATCTTCTTTCTCTTCAGGCCCACACATATTCCTCCAGAGTGCTTTCCCCAAAGAGTTACATCTACTGGGTGTTGTTTGGAGACATAAAAACATGGGTGGCCAGCTCAGCTGACAGTGATTTCTCCTGGGTGTAGAGCAACACAGGAGGCAGCTGGCACGATTGAGCACTTCCACCCACACCAATACTCCCCTGCCTCCTGTGGGTCTTTTCTCAGGACCTTAGAGGCCAGGAGTCAATGGCTGGAAGCTTTTGCACTGACC